TGGGGAAAGCGAGATCGAGGTCCCTGGGGACCGACCTGTGGCGTGGAGTCAGAGTACCCTAGGGCGAGATAGTCAAAGCATGATGCTGATCTCTGGGATGGGTAGAAACTTCAAGAGCTCTCTGTGTATCAGAATGGAACCGCAAAGCCTTCGCTGGTGGTTTTTCGGCTTTGCTCCAGATGGGGGATCACAGTGGACCCACTAGCTGTGAGTAGCGTCACCAGGAGTCGCGGACCAGTAGCTTCCATGAGGCCCTCCCTGCTGTGGGAGTCACTGTGGATCCGGCCAGGGCTCTGGACACCTACTAGAATGGAACACTCAGGAGCTAGGGAAGCCATCACAGGGCAGCTCAGGGGTCACCCACAAGACAGACTCAGGTCAAGATGTCCCCATCAGCTCCCACTCGGGCGGTGGGCTCTGGGCATGCAGCACCCCCATGCCTGCGATCGCCCATTTCCAGCCATCCACGGACCCTCCATTCAGAGTCAGCCTCAGTGGCCTGTGCAGGACTTTGAGGTCCCCTCCCGCGCCGCCTTCCTGCTGCCAAGGGTCCCTGGGCCTTGAAGGGAGGAACAGTCTCATGCAATAGCAGGCAGGGGTGTGTGGAGGGGTGGCTTCCAAGATGAAGGGGGAGCAGAGGGCAGGGGGGAGAGAACAGATAGAGAGAGGCTGCTGGTCTTTCTGACAGTGGAGAGCAGTAGTGGTGGGGAAAGGGGGGATGTGGCGTGAGAGTCTCAGGCAGCAAGAGGGTTCCAGGGACGAGTGGAGGCTCGACTGTGCACGACCGCGTGGAAGACCTGCTCTTTGAAGACCGCCCAGGCTCGCATGCGAGCCCTGTCCCATGCCTCTGCTCCCCTCTGCCTCTGCCGTGGCTCTGTGAGTCACTCACTCATGCGCTAATAGTGCTTTCGGGGGGAGGCAGCGATCGCATCTCGCAGGGGCGCGTGCCGAGGGTTAGATAAGGCGGCGCTGGCAAATATTACATAATCACACCACTGAGGCGACTGTCTGCCGCTTTTGTCGTGCGTCCTCTCTGTGCTGGCCTGGAGCCGAGACCCAAGCCACAGCCCTCCAGGAGCTCTTTGAGCCGGGGTCGAGGGGGCCAGGAAGATGTGGGGGTGCTGCATTTGGGACAATGGTGCCAGGCCTGCCCGTGGGAGAGGAGGCGCTGCCTAGGGGTTTGTTGGCTGCAGTTGGCAGCTGGTGAATTATCCATTCAGCTGCCGCACTGAGGCTGTCTGCCAGGAGAGTGCCCGCGACCTGGGGCTGGCGAAATGCATGCGTTTATGGAGTCAGTCCCTTGACTCACATTCCCAGGCAAGTATTACTTGCCGAGTCCAGGCTCTTCACACCACAAGAGGCCCTGGGGAGAAGGAGGAGTCAAGCTGTGCTGTTTAACCAGCACACACAGTGGCGCAGAGGGCACGGGCGGCCACCGGGCCGAGGGGGGGGAAGCACGGTGTGATCAAGCGCATGTGCACGTGTGCATGCATGTGCATGTGTGGGTGCAGGCAAGTGCATGACGCAAGTGTGGGCGTGTGCAGTGTGCACAGGCAGATGTGTGGGGAGGTGAGTGGGTGGCCGAGAGGCAGCAGCCTGATTCCCCAAGGCCCATAGCCCCTTTGGGGGACATGAACTTGAACCTGCCAGATCTAGCTGCCCCGCTTTCTGGCTTGGACCTGGGAGATGCTGGGTCTGCTCCTAGCCTGGGGACAGATAGCAGCGACAGACTGCACAAGGAAGGGCAGGTATCAGCAGCACATACAAACGAAAGCAAGTTGGGTAGAAGGGTCCGGAACAGGGATCTCTCCACCAGGCAGAATGTGTGCCCTTGGGGGAGCTGCCCAAAGCCCCTGCCGTGGGTGGCAAAGTGACTGGTCAGTTTACGGGGTGACTCTGAAAGGACTGAGGCCTCAGGTTGTCCCCTGGAGGTGAAGAGGTCCCGGGGGGTGTTAGATGGGGTAGGGACTGTTTAGCCTTGCATTTTAGGATGCTTGCTCTGATGGCTGGTACTGTGGGCTGGATGGCATTCCCCCAAAAGATGTGGCCATGCCCTGATCTCCAGGACCTGTGAATGTGGCCTTGTTTGGCAAAAGGCTGTTTGCAGATGTACTGAAGGTCCAGGTGGCCTTAATCCAACGACAGGTGTGCTTGTAGGAGACAGAAGAGAAGGCAGGCACACACAGGAGAAGGCCATGTGGAGACCAAGGCAGAGATGGAGTGATGTGGACACAAGCCAGGAACAGCAAACATACTGAAGTCAGAAGCACAAGGATGAACCAGCCCTGGTGACCCTGGGTTGCAGAGCCATGAGAGGATTTATTTCTGCAGCGTTTAGCCACCTGATCTGTGGCCATTTGTTACGGCCCCAGGAAACGAAGCCAGCTGGGATGGAGAGAGGACTGCGGGGCTCTCTGCAGGCAGGCAGTGCCAAGGAAGGAGCTTGGGGTTCGACTGGGCATGGCGGGTGGAGGTGGAGACCCCCACAGCACCAGAGATCAAGGCATCTAGGCACAGGGATTCAGGGAGCAATCAGTTTTGCGTCTGGCGTTCCCAGCTGTCTCCAATCATAACCATTATCCAAATGCATCAGAAGGGTCCCAGTGACTGTCACTAGCTTGGGAGTCCCTTTGGCGCTCGGGGTCCCTGATGCCTGATGCCCAATATCTTGCTTGTGGAAGACAGGATGGTAAATATGGGAGTCTGATGTTCAGCACAACTTTATTAAGTTTCTATGACGTGCCAGGCTGGAAAGGCAGCAGACACAAGATCCCTCACTGATCCCGGGAGGCTGCGAGGATGGGGGAGGGGGATGGAGAGAGGACCGGGGGACTCCGTGGAGGCATAGGATTCCCTCCCAGCGCCACAAGGTCTGCGTTTCCAAACACGGAAACTCAAGGACAGACTGGCAGCGCCCTCACCTCGGGCTTGGCACCCATTGCTAGCTGCCAGCTCTCCCTGCCCTTAGTCGCGCTGCGGGGACCTGCGGCTCAGGGGAGTGGCGGCGCCCTCCTGTCCCAGCCTTGCGACCTCGCTGGCCAACGCGGGGCGTCCCCCAGGGCGGCCACGTGGAATCCGGGCTCGGGGTGCGTGCCTCCCGGAGGCCCGGCGGGGCGCGAGGCGCCCAGAAGCCGCGGGAACACGT